GGTGGCTCTTCGTGTTCTCTCACAGCCGACATGTCAGACGGCAATCTGCGCGATGGTCACGCGCCCTGTAGCTGGAAGTCGGGGCGACAAGGATGTCTTTGCGGCCGCTGGGTCCTCGGGTGCTAGAGCGCCAGCGCCCTCATGCTTTAAGCGGCAGCAGATGCTCGAGGCCCGCAGGGAATTAAGCGTGCACGCGAGGACCACGCCCTTCTGGTGGCGTGCTAAGACCCTAGAGCAAAGAGGCAGAAGGAAACCAGCTCGGCAGAAACTGACCAGGAGCAGGTACTGGCTGCTTACACCGTCAAAAGCTTCGCCGCCCAACAATTATACAGGGCTGTGGATGCTGTACCCACCAATGGGCTGAAGAGGCTCTGCAGCCCTGGAGTCCCATTGGCTGCTCCGTGGAGCTCTTTGTCCAATCAGACAAGACCTGGAAAGTCGCCTCTTTTGCATACAGCCCTGAAGGCCTTAGCTCGCGGCCAGCGAGGTCTGCTCGGCACCTCCCTGCCTCGGAAGCCTGCGGCTCTTGGGATAGCAAGCTCCCCGCGCTCGAATCTCCGTGCCACCTGTGCTGGTTGGAAGGCGGCGGAGCCGGCGTTTCGCCTCAGCGCGCTCCTTAAGTGCTACCCGCCGAGGTTGGGTAATTGGAACGGGCAGAGTCTGGGGAAAAGGTACACAGAGGTGCGTGTGAAAAAGTGAATGCTCCCCCTAAGAGCGAGATCTAGGCGCTTGTGTTCCTTCTTAGGGGAAAGCAGAGGGGCCGACCCAGGACAGAGTAAAGGACTTTCAGGAAATGGTAAGCAGGAATACTAGAATAGTTCCTGACGCTGGAGTTAATATGGCATCGAATTCTGGTCTCTGTGGTCTGAGTTCACCTTCGCGGAAACTCTGGAGAGGCCTACTGCTTTGATGCCAAGTTCCCCCGGGCAGATATGGTTAGTTTGGGGAAAGTTTCTGCCTGCATTTGCGGTTTTCCAAGTGCCTTTCAGCTCAAAGCAGTCACCTTCCCAAGGTGGAGTATGTGGGGAGGGGCATCCTGGACTACTCCTGGTTCGAACTCCAAGTTTTGTTTTTTTATTACCGGGAATTGAACCCAGGTGAGCTTAACCACTGAGCCACATTCCCATCCTTTTTTAATATTTTATTTAGAGACAGGGTCTCACTGAGTTGCTGAGGGCCTCACTAAGTTGCTGAGGCTGACTCTGAATTGCGATCCTCCTGCCTTAGCCTTTTGAGCCACTGGGATTACAGGTGTGCACATCACACCTGCTCACACTCCCAAGTTTTATGAGGTCTGTCAAGCCTCAGTTTGGCCACATCCCTTTAGGGTTACAGGTGGGTGCTGACTCTACCAGTCGCAATCCTTTGGGTGGGAGGCCTGGGCCTAGGTAAGAGGCTGGTGCCAGAGGTTCTGAGGGCCAGGGGCTTGTGAGGGTGCAACGGGGGAGGCCCAGGCTGCTCTGGTGACTGCAAAAGGACAGCACCCTGCAGCCCACCCAGTCTAATGGCCAAGGACTCCAAAGCCTAGTACAGAGAGTATCAATCTTATAATTAAGAAAAGAAAGAAATCTGGGAAAGTACCCAGAAGTTGCTTATGCACAGGGAAACATACTGGTCCTAGTCACAAGACAAATTCAGTGGCAGATCTGCATAGAATTGGAACTCTTACAAGACATGCTGTTCTGCAAACAGGAACCGTGAGGCATGTGTCTATTACTAACATGTTATGCTTCCTGACAGTGTTTTTAAAACTTGTCTACTCTTGTTTGTACCAGCAAGGGTCCTATAAAAAGTGCTTCAGCATCCTCCTTTGTCCGTTGAGTTTAATTCTGACTGGCTGACTTAATCTCTTAGGCTGTGTCAGTGGCAACATTTTTAGTTGACATTTCTTCATTTACAAATGGAATACTTATAAATTCAATACTTATTTGCCAAATAGAAGTGTCTTAATAGCACATTCCTCTTAATGAATGAAAATTTAATTATAAACTCAAAGTCCAAAAGATTATCTTTCCAGAGGCAGGGGAAGACTTAAGGGTCTTCAGTCTCCAAACTGAGTGAAAGTCTCTGAGGGAATCAGCCCCTTTACACAAGACACAGGTGCAAGGGGCACCTCCCCCTGCCCACCCCACAACTCATGGGAGCCTCACTTTCACGGTGATGGCAGCTGTCCTCTGCTTATCATGTGCCCCCCCCCCACCTTCCCTTGAGAAAATGCTGGGCAGAGGCTAGGGCTGGTCTTTAGGCTGACCTGCTGTCAGGGCAGGGGCAGCTGACCCATTCTGGAGGCCTGACAGAGATCTTCAGAGCTTCACACACAGCCTCCAGTCTTCTAAGATGAGAAGGATGTGCTCAAGGGCACAGCCTCTTGAAAAGTTCCCAAGGGAAGCTGAGAGCAGTCCATCTGAAATCTGCATGAGGGGCACTGCCAGAAACCCACATGGGTCTTGAATGCTGAACTGGTTTCCTTGCAATGGAGTATTCCAAGTACAGTTGGTCCTCCACCTGTGGGCTCCACATTTGTGTGTTCAACTAAACACAGATCAAAAACACTTGGGGGGTGCGGGCGGGAGTGTATTTAGCAAACATTTTTTTTTTTCTTGTGAGTGTTCCCTTTAAAGTACAGAATAGTTACACAGCACTTACATTGCATTAAATATTCTGTTATCTAGAGATGATTTAAGGCACACAAGAGGATGTGTGGGATTGATAAACAAAAAGGACTTGAGCACCTAGTGTCCACAGGTCCTGAAACCCATCCCTGTAGATACAAAAGAAATGTCATATGGCCTGAACCTTTCCCAATATGTACATGACTATAATACTCCAGAAACATCTATGGTTCTTTTCACCAATTTTGTTCCCAAAATGTGAAAGGGTGCTAGGTATAGAAAGGCAGGAACTGGAGCCTAGTGTCCTCCCACACAAAGCAATGAGCATAGACAGCCCTGCCCCTCCCTACCCCTTCTGGTATTGATATTCCCATCATTCCCCTCATGACCCCATCCCATTCCCCTATTCCTGTCCCACAGGCAACCAGTCCTCTGGGCTCCACTGTTTCATGTCTGAAGTGTTCTTTCAAGCCATGGGTAGCTGTTATGTGTGCACGTTTTAAGTCTAGTCCCATTTTCATGCTTTCTGCGGTACCCATGTGGCATACATCTGGCTTATCTTATTATTCCCAGGTTGCAGTATCTCTGTGTCCCCATCCCCATTGCACCCTCCACCCTTCTGGCAAAGGGCACTGGATGTCCGCCATGCCTGACCCAAACCAGGACAGGGACACCAAGCATGTAAACCTTTGTGGGTGTGTGGCAGTGGATGCCTGTAGAATGTAACACCCATGGGGTGGGGACTGCTGGTCCTCAGGTCACTATACCCTTCATCTGAGGGATGCTGCCAGACACTGGGAGTAACATGCCCTCTGCACCAGCAGCAAAAGCTGGAGGCTGGAGCTGGGCAGCCACTTCCTCATCTCCACCAGCCCCCAGGGAGGAACCATTGTGGGTGCACAATTTGTTACTCAAAAACCAACATGAGTTGAAGCATCCCTCTCCCTGGGAACCTGAGCTTTTGGGTCTTTGGGTATGGACCATGATGCCACAAAACTTATGCCAAAATCCTCTCCACCCCATGATGGTATTAGGTGAGGCCTTTGGGGGGTGAAGTTATGAGACTGGAACCTCTGATGGGACCAGGTTCTCACCAGACCAGAGGGAACTCAGGAAGCCCCTGCCACAGTGAGAAGGGGCAACTGTGCACTACAAGTAGCCCTCACCAGGTGGGAGTCTGATCTAAAGACAAGGGAAGAAGGCCCATTCCCCACTGGTGTAGTTGAGGGCAAGGCTATCAGCACAGGGAGGCTGCAGGCAGGGGCCCACTCCCCCACAGTGAGAAGGCCAAGGGCCAGATCTAGTAGGGCCTGGTGACAAGGGAGGCCCAGGGGCTAGAAGGTATGGATAGGGCCAGGGCTTCACTGGGCACAGGCACTGATGTGAACAGGACAGAAGGGAGCCTTCTGCTGAGCAGGAGATGGGGTAGAGTGGAGGTGTTCTTGTGCCAGCCACACTGTGCATTCATCTCCTGGAGCCAGATGTGGAAGTCTCTCAGTCTCAGGTTTATGTGGAGAGGCCTCAGGCCTGGCTGGCAGGGGGCAGCTGGGATGCAGGCTGGAGGTCTTCTCATTAAGCACTGCTTTTTCCAAGATCCAGTTGGCCTTGCTGGAGACGGAGGCCTGAGGATAGGGCCCTGGGAACTCCTAGTGCTGATCACACATCTTAGGGGCCAGTCAGGGATGTTCATTAGGCTCTTTACCAAGGTCAAATGGTTTTTCTGGGCCAATAATTAGAATCAGGGTGAACCAGTGACTCTTTCCATGACACAAAAAGGCAGTGTGTTCCAGTCTGTTCAGAATTCCTTACATCTGCCACTTGTGAGAGGGAGGAGAGAGTTTCCACCCCACAGCTGACTTAGGAATTCTGACTTCCACATCCACCCCCCACACCATCGGACTGCAGAGATCTCAAGGGGGAAGGCTGCTTTCCCATCGCCTCCCACCCCTCATCCCATTCTTCTGACACCCATGAGGCTGTGGCTCCCCTCTCTGGATACACAGCCACCCTCGGTATCTGAAGGGTTCCTCACCCCACCATCCCTAGGTGATGTCTGATCATTGGCCTGCCTATAGCAAGAATCCTGTCAGCTGGGTCCAGCTAGAGCCCCTCACCTGTGTCTGTTCCTAGTCACCTTCCAGCCCAGGACATTCCACCTTGGCCATCAGCTTCTACTCACACTCACTGTGCTTGGAGTGGAGCCCCAACTGTCCTCCCCACCAGAAGACCCTGCTGCAGTAAGCCAGTCAGCAATCTCGATGGTGCTCAGTGAAGTCTGCCCTATGTTAACCAGTATCAACGAATAACTTTTCTCCCCCAGTGGAGACTGGTCAGGGGCAAGAGAAGAGGTCACCCGGACACACAGACCAGAGGAGGAACACATAGCAAACAGACTGGAGCAAACCCACTTTATTCGGCACCCAGAATCTGGCCCACACAGGTAGGCTGGACTGTCAGCCCACCTGAGGCCAGGGACTTCCTCCCCAAACGGGCCCCACTCACAGCGACCCAGCTACCGACTCATGCACTGGGGCAAACCTAGCCGCCCTGCATCTGCACACCCTGACCTCCTGTTCTTGCTCACTTGGTCTGGGTTTTGTCACATGGACTAATCTACACACAATGCTACGGGCAACCACGCTACTGCTACACCACATGTTCTGTCACGAGTTTTGTGAAATCCACCTATCAGATGAGACAGGAAGCAAGAAGCCAAAGATGAGCAAGGTGGAACATGGGGTGGGCTGGAAGGCTGGCAGAGCCCCCTGTACCCTGGGGAGAACGGGCCTTCCAGGTGTGAGGGGCCAGGAAGGTTCAGGTGTCTGTGAGCACCAAGGGCCACAAGCCAGGAAGGAAGGGGACAGGAAGGGGAAGTGGAGGGCAGAGCTGCCAGGACCCCAAGGGAGGAAGGGCAATCTAGGAAGGGTGGAGAATACTCCACTTACTTTCTCTTCCCCAAGAGCTGCATCCCTGGTGCTAACCCCTCAATGTGACCTTCCTGGTGTGTCCCAGGGCCCTGCCAAGGCGTCCAGCCCCCTGGAAGGGAAGAAGGTTCACAGAGCAGCCTGCCCTAGGCATGGTGCAGTGCTTGGTGCCCTTGATGCCAGATGCCCACATACTAGGCCCCAAGCCGTAGCCAGCTGGAGAACAGGACCATGGAACAACCAGGCCAGGGCTGGGACACACTGGGGAGTGTGTCCCAAGGCTGGCCTCTGATAAGAACTGGCACATCCCTGAACATACTCACACCCTGGGGAAAATTGAAATGACACTTTGTTGAGACTTGGAACTAGATGCACACCAAAGGTATGGGCACCTACAATGCTTCACCCCACGCCCAAGCACTGTCAGTGCCAGTGGAGCTAAGGATCCGTCCAGGATGGAAGGTGATGCCAGGAAGAGGGACCGAGGGGTGGGGCAGGTGGGGCTGCTGCAGGCCAGCTGTGGAAGGTAGAGCCTTCTGCTCTCACTCTGGGGACCCACCTGCTGGGCCAGTGCCATCACTGCAGGGGAGGGGAGAAGGGAAGAGAGTCAGAGGGAGAGACAGGGAGACAGGAAGGAGATAGAGATACACAGAAAGACATAAAGAGACAGACACAGACAGAGAGACAGACAGCTACTGTCCTGGGCACAACCCACCCAGAATCTTGTGACTGGGCCCCCTACACCAAGCCCCAACCCTGTCTCCCCAAGGCCACAGCCCATCACCAGGTCACTGCAGCAGCTGGGCTGAGCAGGTTGAGCTCTGCTGGAGGAAAACCAAGGCCTCGCAGTTAAGAGCTTCAGGTTCTGTCACAGTAGACCCAAGTGCAGAGGCCCAGAGGGAGTGCTGGGGGTCTCAGGCTCAGTCCAGGCCTCAGGGCTGACACCAAGGGGTGTCACAGAGCCTCAGCGTGGGGCCAGCCTCCGATGTTTCCATATCGGTGATACAAACACCCCACCACCCTCAAAGGCTAGGGATGATGCACTGTGCGCTCCCCAGTGTCAAACTCCCTCATGCCATTGTCCTTGACCACCTCTTCATTTTTGAGGTCCAGCCCAGGAGGCCACAGCCTGGCCATCCAGGTTATGGCTCTGGGCTTCTCTGACCCCCCACCCCCCACCCAGGGACCTGGGCCTCCTGCTACCCAGCCCCACTGCACATACCTGCAGCAGCATGCTGAGCCCCAGGTTGCGGTGCTTCTTCTCCAGTTCCGACACCGCCTGCAGCAAGGACTGGAACCGCTCGGCTGGGTCAGCCTGCTCATCCTCTGGGACACCCTCGTCCTTCCCAGCCTCCTGCAGAAAGTGCTGCTCCTCCTCAGCAAAGAAGGCCCGCAGCTTCTTGTAGTCAGTCAGGGCCTTCTTTCTGCGGTCCATGACATGCCCCTGCAGGGTGGGCAGGTGGCAGAAGGGACCCATCTTCCATGGCCCCCATGAGAAAGTTGTCCCACCCTCCCCAATGCCAGGAGAAATCTGTGCCCTCTAAAAGGAGCTGAGAATACGACACCCCAAGATGGGCTGTCCAGACATCGCGAATCAAAGGCCCAGATGTGACAGACTGTCTGACCTCCACAGTCTCAAAGCAGATGAGAATCCACGGCAAAGGTGCCCTCTGCCAGGGTCTAGGAACCTCCCCCAACATTCTGCATGGAAAGGTAGAGGTGGTGGGCCTCAGGAGCCCCCTAGGCCACTTAGGGCCCTGGCCAGGCAGGCACCAGTGCTGGTCTCACAGAACTTCAGTGGTTCTTGCAAGAGCAAGCTGTCAGGAGGCAAGACTGACTGAGCTTTCCCAAGAGGATGCTGCCCACCACCTCACCAGATTCCAAACAGGGGGGTTGCTAGATCTGGGTGTCCAGCCCCCAGAAAGATGAGCTAAGTAAGCCTCTTATCTTTAAAAAGTACTTGGGCTTGAGTATTTTCTTAAAACAAAAAAAGCAGCACACCCTCCCTTCATCAAAGTACTGATGTTCTTATCTTTGAGGATGAAGTCGAGGCTGAGAGGATTCTGTACAGACCCTGTCAAATAACTCATCCCCCTGCCTGCTGAACAGCTCGGCTGCTTCACAGCCTGCAGTTCTTTATCCATTTTGGTACAGGGATGTTGCGACTCTGCTTCTTAAGATCTTCACTTCCTCCCAACAGCTTCAATGACACATAAAACTCATGCCAATGAATGTGCATGCTCTTCTGTGATCTATCTTATATCATCTCAACTCTCAGGCCCAGCCCGGGACCCTAAGAGAGCAGGGAATTTTCTCCCTCAATGTCTTTGGGGGACTGCTTCCAAGATGCCCCTCAGGACACGAACTCTTGGGTCTCAAGGGTCTTTTATGAAATGGCATTGTATTTGCATATGACTAGCGCTCATCCTCAGACATACTTTATAATACCTAATACAGCCTAAACACTATGAAATAGTTTTTCAGCTGTATTGTTCAGGAATAATGACTAGAAGCCATCTGCATGCTGGGTACAGATGCACTTTTGATCTGAGCTGGGCAGCATGCAGGTTTCCAGGGGCCCAGCACTGGGCTACATCTGAAGATGAACCGACCCCAGAGCCAAGGAGCCCGTGACCTGTGGGCATATGACCCTCAATGGCCTCAGGACATACACCCACCTTCCTGGTGAGTTTCCCTGCTGCACCTCGCCTAGCACCAGGGGTGAAAGCCATGGGCCACCCTTCAGCCAGTACCTCACCTAGAAACAGGAGCAAAGAAGCTACACTGACTTGACTTAGCCTCACCCACATCTCCAACCTGGCTCTGGACTCCCACCCTGGCCACCTGTGGTTGAAAAGGGCAAATGCTTCTATGGCTGAGAGAATACAAATACCAGCAGGACCCTGCTGGCCGGCCAGCATGGTGAGCCACAAAGTCCTTCCTTTGAATTCAGGATTCTCTCAATGCCTCCACCACCCTCTCCTAAGTCAAGTCAGATGAAAGTTCCAGGCTGCTGAAACTTGTGGGTCAAACAAGTCCTCTGGGACGGCAGGGTCACTGAGAAGCTGGAGCTCCCAAGGGCCAGGCAGCATCACAGCACTCTGCAGTTTGCACTGTTTAGAATACAAAGTGCAGACTGACCCCAGAGGGTGGTGTGTACTGCCAGAGGTCCAGCAGGCATCAAATGCTCCATCTGTCACCTCTCTGCCACTGTCCAAGGGAGTTGAGTCAGGCTCAAAAGATGATTACCCCACAGTGCAAGCCTGGAAGCAAAGCCACTCTCTGACCTCCTCTCTCACCCCTGTCTTCCCAAAGGCAAGGCACAGAAATAGAATTTCTTTTCCTCAATGCAGATCCTAGAAACTAGAACCCATCTTCCCCAAAGCAAGCCATAAAGCCTAAAAATAGTACTCTACTCTTCAGATTTTTCTGTCTTGGCACTGGTCATAGAGAAATCCTCTAATCTGCCCAGCTCACAGTAGTTCCTAAGATCCATTTCAGAAGGTCCTTCCCACACTTGGGAGGATGGGACACTGCACAAACAGGCCTGCAGGGCTCCCCAGCCTATCACTACTAGCCTACTAATACTACCTGCACATCCTTTCTGTCCAGACCTATTTCTGCATTGCTGCCCCTGCAACATCACACTTGAGCATAAAAATGGGAAGTTCACCCTGGATCTCTTGAGTCTTCAAGCTCAAGGGTACCACATCATGTGAAGCCAAGATGAAATTAACATGCCATGCTATTTGCTTGCCAGTCTGTCTTTTGATGTGAGAGTATTGGCCACAGCTCTCTATGGTAAACAGGAAGGGATCACCCCTTTATCTCCACCTCGTGCTCTGTGTAGGGAGCAAGGGCTGAGCTGACCCAGAGCAGTGAACACTACCCCTGGACAGGACAGGTGGCCTCTGCCTCAAGGGGCTGGTCATGTCTGAGAGCTTCAGAACCTCTACAGTCTTCAGAAATGCTTTGTTTCTACATGATTAAAAAAGTTGTGAAACCTAGAGAAAATAGTCATATATTTTAATACATACGAAGAAAAGCCACCTAAGAGAGGTCAAGTTAATGTGTAGTTCTGCTGGCAACTGACTAAAAAGAACTATAGTGCTCGGTCACCTTGGGGAACAACAATGTAAGGCCCCAGAGAGCAGAGGCAAGTGCTATGGACTGAATGATGCATTCCCCAAATTCCATGACCTTGGTCTTCTACCCTCTAGAACTGCAGCAACAAATGTCTGATTTCCAGGCCCCCCAGTTTTTAGTATCTTGTTCCAGCAGCCAGGACACTTACCAAATCACTACACATAAAAATGTGGGGGAAAAGTGAATCCCTGTTTGCTTTGGCTAGACTTCACTTGGGAAACATCCTCAACCATCTAGAAAGCCACCCTGGAGTTCCTACAGTCCACTCAAAGGTTCAGCCAAGCAGGCCCAGCAGCTGCCTAGCCTATTCCTGGCACCCAAGTCCACCAAGATCCCAAGCCCACCACCTGCTCCCCACTTGCCTTCCACACAGCAGCCGCCGACTCTGCCTGGCCATGCAGATCCCGGGCATCATTCAAGTCCTTTCTCATGATTTCCACGGACCCCTTGTTCTCCTAGGAGAGAGAAGCTGGTAACTTGGGGATGGGTGGGGCACCAGCTCAGTGCAGGGACCCTCACACCTGCCAATTCCAGAAAGTCTCACTGTCCCAGAAATAATCCCCAAGAACATGGTCTCCACAGAGGGTGCAAAAAAAGAAAAGGGCTGCAGACAGAGCAACAGATGCCCTGGCAATTCACCCTCTCAGAAGGAACTGGAACCAGCCAAGGGAGCTCTGGAGGTCATCTTTGAAACCCCACGTTCTTGAACAGGCCCCCCAAGCTGAACTGTATCCATACCAACAGGCTGCCTGGCCTCTTCTGTGCTCTGCTTGGCCCTTGCTGGGGTTAGTCTGGCCAGAAAGGGGAAGCCAATGGTAAAACTGTCCAGCCACACCACAGGACAGGCCACACTGGGATTGGAAGGCAGCCATCTGCCCTCACCTCCCACTGTGAATGGGCAGTGACCCCCACATCCCATGCTTGAGGTGTATAGTCCCCAAAGGGGCTGTTAGCAACATTCAGGCTGTTGTGCAAACACATAAAGCTGACCTGTCTCTTCTCTGCTCAGCAGGGACCAAGCAGAATTGTCTTGGTCCCCAGGGACTTGGCTATCTATTCTCTCAAAAATAGCTCCAGGGCCTCAGGACCCAGCTATGGACAGATTCTGGGGGTGGGTTCTGCTCAATCAAAGGGCCACAAGAGAGCAAGCGGAGAAGGTTCCAGAACCAGGTTGATAGTAGGAACCTCAAAGGTCTGCAGGATGCACAATGAAAGAAAGACCTAGTCCCCAAGACAGAAATTTTGGGCTCCATCAGCAAGGGGGTTGGATCTAGTGCACTGATGTCCCAAGTCAGTGCAATGAGGGGAGGGGTCATCCACTGGGGTGAGATGAGGCCTCTCAGAGCAGGGCCAGCGGTGGGAGTAAAGAGAGGATGCAGAGGATGGGGAAAAGGTCCTGGCCTACAGGTGGAGAATAGGGAGATGAGGCGCTGCGGTTCAAGGACCGGGTTGGGGAGGGAAAACGGGCATCCTCCAAGGTCGTAGATGGAGGGACAGGGAAGGGTCCAGTAATGCCAGTAAAGATGGGGGGGGGGGGACAGGGCTTCTCACGGACCCAGGAGGGGCACGGAGCTCTGTCGAGACCATGGGTAGCAGAGAAGGCACAGGGCACTGCAGGGCCCCCTGGGGTGAGCACAGCGCTGGGCACGAGAAGCGGCAAGCCTGGAGGGGACTCTACAGTGACCCCAGAAAAAGAAAATCAGAGCACCGCGGGGACCCCAGAATGGGCAAGACACAAGGTCCCCCAACCCCGGTGCACCTTGCCGCGCAGCGCCTTCCTCCAGCGCGGCTCCCACTCGGGTGGCTCGGGGCCGGCGGCCATGCGGCAGGCGGCGCACAGCGGGTCCCCGTCGGCGCGGCACAGCAGCTGCAGAGCGGCCTCGCTGGCCGGTCCGTCGCGCGCGGGCGCCGCGGCCGCCTCCTCCAGCGCCAGCAAGCGGCGGCTGAGCGGCGGACGGCTGGGCTCCACCGCACGCTGCCAGCAGTCGTCGGCGCACTCGGGGCACGGGAAGGGCCCGTCCTCCTCTGCCCAGAAGCGCACCACGCACGCCCGGCAGAAGCGGTGTCCGCAGTCAGCGCGCACGGGCTCCCGGGGCGCGCGCTGGCACAGGGCACAGGCGGCCTCGGCGGGACCGGCGGGGAGCGCCAGGGCTGCGGGCGGCGGGGCCGGCGAGGGCGCGAGCGGCGAGGGCGCGGGACGGCCGGGGAGCGGCCGGAGAGGGAAAGCGACAGCAGGCCACAGACGAGGACGAGGACCGGGACGACGCTGACGACGCCAACGCCGGGACGCGCATGCGGGGCGGGGTCCCCGCAGCCGCGCGCTCCTCCGTCAAGGTCCTGGCAGCGGTGCGCTCCTTCACTGGCGCCCTGGCTCCGCGCTCTCCTCCTACAGGGTCCCGGCAGCGGTGTATTCCATAATAGGGATCCTGACGTCGGCGCGTTCCTGAACTACACGAACGAGGGTCCCGTTAACCGACAGCCTGCAGCCCCGGTCTTGGCAGAAGCGCGCCCGAGCCCGGATGCTGGCAGCAGTGCCCGTCACCCCACAGGCTGTCCCACGTCCTCAGAATGTGAAATCTTAATAAGACTGTCACTTTTGCATAGACGAATAGTGGGCGAAAGGGAAACAACATATTATCACTTGAAGATTCCATTTTTTTAAAATGCCTTTTTTGTAAGCTGCTAGGACCTGGGCCACCAGCTCCCTCCCGGGGCTCCACGCCCACGTGTGGGTGGGGGCGAGGCCGGAAAATGACCCTCGTGGGCCCGCCCCCAGAGCGCGGGTCCTGGAGATGTGCCCTTGGTGGACTCGCTCTGCGCGCTCCCTCCTCCAGCGCACGCGCCCCACAGTCTTTTCAAGGCATGAGTTCTGCTCCGACCCACCCTGAGCGCATCTGCCCCCCGTGGATGTGTCTTGAGAGCACCTTTCCTGAAGGGTCTTCCTCTCCTGCACCTGTCCTGTGTGCCCCTGCGTCGACCGGCGTGGCTATGCTCCACTTGCCCCTTCCTGCCTAGCCTTTCCTGGGCGGGCCCTCCTCGCCTGCACAGGTCTCCGCATGTACCTGTCCCGCGTGGACATCCTTCCATCCTTCCTGGACCCTTACCCTGCATGGACACTCCTTCCATACACCTGCCCTGCTTAGGACCTTCTTGCGTGGACCAGTCCTGCATGGACGTTAGTTGTCAGGGCCTCTCTTCTGGCCCCCTGGGGAGCCGACCTTGGTGTCCACTGACTGCCAGGGGCCTGACCCCTGGCATGGAGGACTCTGACCCTAAGGAAGCTTTCTGATTCAAGAAGGAAGGAGGTCTCTTGTCCTTTTTCAAAACGTCAACTTGAGAGAAGCAATCCATTTTTTTAAAACAAACACATTTTTTTGAAAAGATGTAAATTGAGACTACATACTTTTTAAGTTTTAAAAACGTTAATTTCGGGCTGGGGTTGTGGCTCAGAGGTAGAGCACTCGCCTAGCACCTTCCAGGCCCTGGGTTCGATCCTCAGCACCACATAAAAATAAAGGTATTGACAACTACAACTAAAAAATAATTTTTTAAAAATTTCTTATTCCATACAAGTGAAAGTTATTCAGATATATCACTGTGTCTTTGAGGTGTGTTTTTAAATATGGTGTCCTTTTGCAAAGGCATTACATGAGTAGTTGAAAGTAGTTGAAAAGCAAACTCAAGTTAGTTTTGTGTAGGGTGGTTAGAAGGCTTCCAGTCCAGCCTGGTTTGTCTGTTGAACCGGGAAAGTCTGGAGATAGCGTGAAACCAAGCAAATGCATAAATAAATGTAGTTAAAACAGAAAACTGACAAAAGTCAAATTCCTGAATCAAAGGGACAACTATGAGAGAAATTTTATGTTGTCTGTGAAACCGCCTTTCCAAGAGGTGGAAGCCGTTTGTAGATGCCTGTTTCACAGCACCTAACCACAGTGCAGGCATTGCAGTTACCAAGCGAGAAGTGAGAAAATCTCTGTAGAGGTCCCTAGTTTGGGGAAATATGTGGGAACTCCTTGCTAGTTCTTAACTAGCTCTTCTGGTTGGCATAATATTTAACTTAAAATATTAACATAAGAGCAAAGAAAAGGAACTTAATTAAGACTTATTTTAAAAATTGAGTGAGCTGCATTAGAGAGTGTAAGTGACCAAAAAAATAATAATAATAACCAGGAATGATAATCAAACACAAACAGCAAAACTAGGAAAATCCTAGCCACAAATCTGCATAGTTCATAAATTTGGTAAGGAAGGGTGCAATGGAGAGACATCCCAAGTGGGATTTCCCAGTTCATAGGAAAAAAAACACACACACACACACACAAATGATTGAATAAATAGGAGAAAAATGTACACACTAAGAAATAGAAAAATAAAATGAGACTCCTTTTTTTACTATTAAGTACACAGACCCCACCAAAAAAGTATCTGATTTTGCAGATACTGCTTCAGGGAGCCATGTGATTGATGAGTTGAGGACATAATGCAGTCAGACTCTCACACAAAATTGTGCTGGATGCTGAGCATCTTTCTTCCCAAGATAATAATTTAAATTGATTCATGTAAAATGTTTGGGGGTTTCATTGAGAACTATAAAAAAAATCTCATAGTGTGATAAAGTCTTTTTTTTTCTCTTGGGGACTGAACCCAGGAGCACTTTGCCACTGAGTTACATCCCCCTCCCCGTCTTTTTTTTTTTTTTTTTTTGAGACAGGGTCTTGCTAAGTTTCTGAGACTGGTCTCTAATTTATGATCCACCATGCCCAGCTGAAGTGTTTTGTTTTGTTTTGTTTTGAGTTATAGATGGACACAATGCCTTTATTTTATTTGTTTATTTTTATGTGGTGCTGAGGTTCAAACCCAGTGCCTCACATGTGCTAGGCAAGTGCTCTACTACTGAGCCACAACATCAGCCCCTGAAGTATTTTTTGTTTGTTTGGTTGGTTTGGTTTGGTTTGGTTTGGGTTTTTAGGCAACAAAAAATAGACCATTAGAAGTAAGTTCTAACTACAGAAAGTCATGAAGCCACACTTTAGTCAATTGATGTGTTTGTGGAGTACATTTTCTAATGTAGAGGGTAGCCCTAGTGGAAGTTCTGCACACTAGCAGGGGGCCACATTCCACAGAAGACGGTGCACTACAGTACACCAGTACAGACTGGACAGTACAGAGTGAAAAAAGCCAGAGACAAATGACAGGATGTGGCACTCCTGCAAGTGGAAAACCGGCAACACGCACACGAAACAGCACACATTTCCCAAGAATTCACCCGAAAAGCATGTCATACAAATAGAGTCAGTTCTCCACAACCATGAAGGAAGCTCTGAATCTGCAGATTGAGATTTTTTTTAATGTAACCTTGTTAACATGTACCATGTAGTTACCCTACAATAGCTACCGCTGTAGTGAGCATGTACAGACTTTTTCTTTTCATTATTCCCTAAACAATGCAGCAAGACAACTATTTAATAATATTTACATAGAATTAGATGTTAAGAGTCATTTAGGGATGATTCAAAGTCCACTGGGGATTGTGTAGGTCATGTGCAATTTTATGTAATACTATGCCATTTTATATAAGGGACTTGAGATCTGAGGGCTTTGGGATCCTTGGAGGTACTGGACCCATCCATGGAGGACCCATGGGTCCTCTGTGCACAGAGTGGTTGCCAGTGGGTGGTGGGAGAGTGTTGGGAGCAAGGACAGTGGGCACAGCCATATGTTCATGCCCTCAGTATGCAGGGTTTCATCCTTCTTCTCAGGGATGAAATTGTGAAATTGATCAACTTCCCTGTGAAATTGATCAACCACAGATCAAGACTGTTTTTTTAAAAATTGAGTGTGAACATGTACCCATTTTGTTCTTACAGTTAAAGGATACAGTACAGCAACTATTTAGGTAGCATTTACATTGTAATGGATATTACAAATCATCTGGAAATTTAAAGTATATGAAAGAATGTACACATTACCTGAAAATATGAGCTCTTACATGAAGACTTGAGTGTCCTGGGTTTTGGGTATCCTTAAAGGCCCTGGAACCATCCGCTGCAGGTGTGTACCACAGTGCCCAGCAGATACTGCAGATACTGACAATCTCTACACATATATAAAATTTGAAATTTCTATCTATTTGATTTTCATTAGGCCCTAAGCTTGCCTGAGTTACATGGACCACCATGGCCAGATCCAACATAGTGCTCAAATTATTACCAAGGCTGTTATCACTATAGCTCAGTGATAGAGCACTTGCCTAGCATGCACAAGGCCCTGGGTTTGAACCTCAACACCAAAAAAATTAAAATGAACAACAACAAAAAAAAACCACCCTGCAGCAGGGCCATTTTGCCTGCCACACAGTGTGCTGATCACTGGAATGGCAGGTTGTGCGGCATTTATGAGACAGCCAAGTATGAAGACAGGACATCAAGTTTCCAATCAACCTTCTTTAGGATAGGACTTGAGGATATAAATGAGATAGGGAAGTAGGGTGGTCTAAGGTGTGGGGAAAGATGAGTGGAGACAAGGTCATTGGTCTGCATATATGTAGTCAATCTTCACGGTAGTTCATGGGACATGTGTTCAGAAAAAGCCATGCTAGTGTACCACAGGGTGGAGATTCCAGCTTCCTGATGTCAAAAGTTTCCCATGGGTGTAGAGTACCTCGGCAACCCTCATCGTCATGACCCACAGGCCAGCGGTACCATCCACAGCAGTCGGTGGGAACAGCGTATTGCCCAGCTGTGTGACCACCAGATTTAGGAGGGGTTTTGTTTTTATTTGGCACTGGAGATTAAACCCAGGGGCACCGAACCACATCCCCAGTCTTTTTCATGTATTAAATTGAGACTCATGAAGTTACTTATAGCCTCACTAAGTTGCTAAGGCTGGCTTCAACTTGCGATCCTCCTACCTCAGCCTCCCAAGCTGTTGGGATTACAGGTATGCGCCATAGTGCCCAACTAGAATTAGTGATTTTTAAAGTCAACTAAAAGCAAGAAACTACAAACAAGTGAAGTTAGAAAGTTTATTCAGGTTTTCCCATGGTTTAAAAATCCAGGATGCGACAAAAATGGGTTGATCCAATCCACTTCCAGACACATCTCTGTCATATCTGAACAAAGTGGCCCAAATAACATTTCTAGGGAATCAAATTTCAGCTTCAAGTTGATGCATCAGGACCACTGGATGCAGGTGACAGGAGCACACTGGAAACAGCAGCACATGGAAAAAAGAAAGGGTTAGACACCTGAAAGACCATCACAACCCAAGACCTTCAGGTGGAGGGAGCTGTGGGGGCCTGGTAATATCCCCACACACTGGGACATGCAC